TGAAGTAGTCATCCTGCATGGCGTTGTGGCGGCTGCTCTGCGAAGCAAGCTTCGGTGGCGGCGATTGGAGTGTAGATGCAACAGAGTCGATTCGAGCATTGAGAGCATCCAATCTGGACGTAGTAGCGGATTGCACAGCCGCAGTGGGTGCGACAATGGACACATCGTTACCAGCATTGACTGATGAGGATGCTGTTGTCAATACCCGCTCGCCGCTTATATGCGCAGTCGTACCCGCATCGACCTCTGGTTGTAGCCCAGGTTCAGGGGCGCCCTTCTCGGTAGTGTTAAAACCTTCCGCCCGTCTCCGAACCTCGAGATCGATTATCCTCCTTCTTGATTCGTGTTTCCATTGCCCATAGTCATGCTCTGTAGATTCAAATATGTCTATCCAGTGCTCGGGTAGGCTGTCCTCTTGTCCTTCGAGTGTATCGAGCATCTTGTCTAGTTGCCTCCCCAAGTCGCTGACCTTCTGATGAAGCACAAGCGATATGGTATCTACTGCCTTTTTCCACTGCTCAAATGCAGCGTCGGACGTGTCTGCTGGCGCCTCGATGGCATCCCAGCCTAGCCGCATAGCTTCTTGCGCCGTATCGAGTTCGCTGGTGTAACGCGGGGCTTCGCGGAGGATGGAGACGCGGGCGGTCCACGTGCTTAGGCGGGCTTTGAGCTGGGCGTGGTGCGGTAGGGCGGATAGGAGGGTCTGGGTGATGAGAAAGGAGAAGTCGTCCATGACCTTGTAGTGCTGGCGATTGGCCTCGTAGCCCGCAGAGGACGGCCTCGACCTGCCTGCCGGGTGCATATCCAGCACATGCTCCTTCAGCTCTTCGACATCGAGCTTCAGCATCTCGTCGGCGATGTCGTCGAGGCGCACCTCGTGTTGCTCCACCTCGACCGACAGCATCGAACCCCAGTATTCTAATGGCGGCATGACATTGCCCATGTCGGAATCGGCGACGTGCTCCCTGATGCGCAGCTCGATGCTTTTCCTCCTCTGCTCGCGGATCTGGGCGCTGGGCTGCTCGAAGCTGCCCGACCACCCCCATTGCTCGATCTCGGCGCACCATATCTTCAGCCGCTGCGCAGCCTTTGCGACGCGCGACCCCAAGTCCCTCTCGGCGGCGGTGAGAGTCTCGATGCAGGAAAACATTTTGTATTCGTCGCGTGTTGTGTCGAACGGCATCGGCTTTTGTGTGAAGGCGCGGAGGGTCGTCTCGGGCGACAGGTCGCGGAGGCGGGTCTCTTCCGAGCTGCCATACGTTCTGCCTCGTCTGCCGGCGGGTGACATGGCTGGTGATGGGACGCGACGGGGTGTGAGGGGCGGGATCATTCGCATAGGCGACCGAAAGACGTCCATGTTGGCGGTTGGCAAAAGTTGAAAGAGCGACTGGTGACAAGGAAGGTACAAAGGAGACGAGTCTCAGACAGAGAAGGTGCGGCTGGCTTTGTCGCTATCAATGCAACGGTCAGTAAATCGTGTCCTTTGTCTCCTTCCTGTTGCCGCCGTGTTTGCGCTGCCGGCAGCCCAATGTTTATTGACTGACGCAGTCTTCGCCGAACATCTTGCGCCGTGCACTCTTGCATTGGTTCACCCGCCTTTCGATATGACTAAGCCCAAAAGCGTGCTAGCCGTAGATCACTTTCGGACTCGACTCCTGCACTCTCACGAACATTGCGCGTTATCGCATTGAGATGGTACCTTGATGGGCCGCAGAAAATACTTAAGTGAGATGCTCCGCTCATCGTTCCTGAGCTCTAGTTCTGTCTCTTCTACGCTGCCAAGTGCATCGCGGAATAAGGACGCGCCCATCACGCGTCTCCGCACTCCCCCGCATTCAACTTCAACCGGCCATCCTCTGCTCTGTGCCGTCTACGCAGAACCATATTATACTTTCCACCACCGTTACTTTTCTTCGGACGGCTTTCGGGTCAGCCTCTGGCGACGTGCACGGAACGGCGGCGTCGGTATGCGCGCTTTTCCGATCTGCTATCTGACTGTCAGATTTTGACCGCAGAAGATACGTGCATCGAAGCGGCATCTCTTCCTCATTTCAGAAGCTACCCCACCACCTATATCGTCATTGCTCTCTGCCAAGCACCTTAATGCTCCGCCCCGCGTTCATATCTCTTCGACCTTCCGGAGTGCGTTAGCCACTTGCCTGTATACCTCGCGGTTACGCAGTGCCTGCGTCCAGCTACAGCTACCCGCATGTCGGGATACGATGGCACGAGAGAGCAGGGAACTCGCCAGGTTCACCTGCTCTCAGTAGAAGCAGCTATCCTCGGAATGGAAGCCTTGACGTTATCGTACCGAACGCCGACGGAACTGCCTGCAAGTACTTAAAGTACCATGCAACCTATCGTTGTTCGGTACCCTTCTGCCTCTGTGAAGTGTGCATCTGTCAGTCAATATGAGAACAGCACTTCTAGCGCTCGCTGCCATTGGCGCTCAAGCCTGTCAGCGTGAACGTGCATTCTTCCATCACCCGCATAAGCATGTCAAGAGGCAATCCGTCTTCCCTCCAGCCTTGACGCCCAATGAAGAGATCTTGCTGAACTCGTTTGATTCCGTCTCGATATCGGAATGGTCATACTACTACAGTACGGCTCTCGGGCTCGATACAAAGTGTATGCTAACAAAATGCAGCCCATGGCCAGCATTTGGCCGGTCAGAACGAGTCAATGGGTATTTGGAGCCTTTCCCGGACCGATCCGATATGTAACTGACCCTTGACACAGCACAGTGGACGGCTGACAAATGGTCTGAATATGGCTTCACGTCAAGGCTCGACGAATACTGTACGAAACTGTTGACAGTTGTTGCGGCAGGCACTAACGAGACGCAGATGTCTTCCTCAACTATCCTGTATCAAACTCGCTACAACTTACCTATTCCAACGGTAGTACTTACACACCGACCCTCATGGAAGATGTACTGGAAGAGGACGAGACCACGAGCTATCCCAACAGTGTCCCCGTCTTCCATGGCTACAGCTTCACAGGCAACGCATCTGCAGAATACGTTTACGTCGGAAGAGGCCAGCAGGTCGACTTTGACCGCCTCGAAGCTCTTGGTGTCGAACTTGAGGGCAAGATCGCTCTAGCAAAGTACGGTGGACCATTCCGTGGGCTGAAAGTCAAGAATGCACAGGATCACGGTATGATCGGTGCTGTGATCTTCACCGATCCTGGTGATGACGGCAACATGACTGAAGGTGAGCTTATTTGACCTCTTCCCAGAACTACCCATTAACAATTTTCAGCGAAGGGAGTGGCTCCATACCCCTACGGTGGCGCGAGGAACCCTTCAACCGTTCAACGCGGATCTGTCCAGTTCTTGTCTACTTATCCCGGCGACCCAACTACTCCAGGTTACGTCTCCAAGCCAGACTCCCCACGCGCAGATCGCACCGACATCACCCCGCAAATTCCGTCATTGCCTATTTCCTGGATTGAGGCCCAGCCGCTTCTCCAAGCCCTCAACGGCTTTGGAACCAACGGCACTGAGGTCAACAGGACGCGTTGGGTTGGTGCTATACCCGGCGTAGACTACTTCACTGGCGAGGGATCCGGCGCATCACTTTCAATGAGCAATGTAATGAACGACACCTATGGCACCATCTGGAACGCAGTTGGTATCATCAACGGTACGAACCAAGACGAGGTCGTCATTGTGGGCAACCATCGTGACGCTTGGATTGTTGGCGGTGCTGCCGACCCCAACTCCGGATCCGCTGTACTCATCGAACTTGCCAAGGCATTCGGTGCTCTTGCCGAGACAGGTTGGAAGCCAATGCGAACAATCGTTCTCTGCAGCTGGGATGCCGAAGAGTATGGTCTTGTTGGAAGGTAAGACTGGAATTTTACATCAACGAGTCAAGGTACTGATAAATCATAGTACTGAGTGGATGGAGGAGTACATTCCTTGGCTGAAGAACGCCGCCGTGTCCTACCTCAACATCGACGTCGCTGTCAGTGGACCAATCCCAGACGTTTCCGCAACCCCAGACCTACACGCCATCGCCACCAGCCTGATGAAGAAGGTCGTGTACCCCTACCGCAACGACACTAGTCTCACCATGTACGATGTCTGGTCGCACGAAAGTGGTGAAGTCGGTGTACTCGGCAGTGGTAGTGACTACACCGCTTTCCTCCACCGTGGTATCGCATCCATCGATATGGGTGCTGGCGGAGGTCAGTGACATTTCTGTACGAACTGTATGTGAGACAGATACTGACTTCATATACCCATCTCTAGGTCCAAACGATCCCGTTTACCCTTATCACAGCAACTACGACTCCTACCACTGGATGGCCACGTTTGGAGACCCTGGCTTCGTCACCCACAAGGCGATGGGCCAGTTCCTCACTCTCCTCTTGTACCACATGGTATCCGATCCCGTCCTGCCCCTCGAGCCAGCAGACTACGTCTCAGAGCTGAACACTTACCTTGAAGCTCTCGAGACGGATATCAGCAGCAGCAACTTCACCGTTGACCTTACAAACCTCACTGCCGCTATCACTCAATTCGAAACCTCCGCCCAGGAGTTTGTCGATCTGAGAGATCAAGCTGTTGCTGCGAATGACACGGAGCTCATCACTGTGCAGAACCACAAGGCGAGGGACTTCTCCCGGGGCTTCACTTCGCAGGGTGGACTGCCCACCAGAGAGTTCTATCAGCATACTATCTTCGCTCCTGGGCGCGACACAGGATACGCGCCTGTAACGTTCCCGGGTATCACGGAAAGCATCACGTTTGATCAGGATGCGGAGTTGGCGCAGGAGTGGGTGCAGAAGACTAGTGATGCGATTTTGGTGGCTGCTAGTATCCTGAAGACCTAGAGAGTGGATCTGAATGCAATACTGCGATGACGAGTTCGGTGGTAGTGGAGGGTGGAGGAGATACCCTAGTAAAGGCCTTGACAAGGAAGAGATAAGTCGTCAGTAGTAGAAAGAATAATGATAATGTATGCTGCAGACTCCAGACCTCACCTCTCCCTCTACTTCACAACAGCAAGCAAGAACCCATCATAGGACTTCTCCCCCACCGTCTGCAACACCACCCCATCCAGCCTCTCATCCTTCCCCACATTCTCCACCACCCTCTTCGCCCCCGCAATCCTCGGATCATCCGTCTCTTCCGCTAACTGCCCCTTCCGCACCACATTATCCACGATAACGCACGCACCCGCCTCACACATACCGAGCGCTGTATCCACATAGTTCCAATTATTCTCCTTATCCGCGTCGATGAAGACGAAGTCGAATTTCGGCCTCTTGCCGTCTCTAACCTGCTGTGCCAGAGCAGGAAGGACGTCCATACCAGGCCCTTCCATGACGTCCACATTGTCTTCCAAGCCCGCGGTCTGGATATTCGACCGTGCGACATTGGCGTGGTGCGTATCGACTTCGACGCTTATTACTTTTACGTTGGGACTGGATGTTGCGAGCCAGATGGTGCTGTAACCGCCCAATGTGCCTACTTCGAGGATGTTTTTGGAACGTGCGAGGCGTGCGGTGAGTTGGAGGTATTTGCCTTGGGAGGGCGAGACGGCGATGTCTGGAAGACCGGCTTTCTGGGAGGCGTCGAGGGCGTGTTGGAGGGCGGATTGGGAGGGGGATATGCGCGTGGAGGGGTGGAGGTGGCCGAACGAGTAGGTGTCAACCGCTGTCCATCGGGGGTCTTTCTCGTGGGACTGGCCTGGCTGCGGCATAGTGAGGATGCTGTTAGAGCTTCAGGTATGGAAGTTAGTTGATGGTTAGTTACGCGCTCTGGAGGCGCGGATTGACGCGTCTTTATAGAGAGATCATGTCGGTTCAGTCGGGCATGCCAGGTGTCACTCGTATCTCATGATGCATCTGCCTAAAGAGCATTGAGCAGTCATTGGATGGCATCGAGGCCGGGTGGTGGAAGAGCATTCAGCCAGCTCGCGGAAGCTTGCCATGGGGCGATCTGATAAGCACAACCCCGAGCTTCGATCTCCGATATCGCCGAGCATACGCAAGCAGTCCACGAGGCAAGCACGCGAACCAAGCAACATCAACAGAGGGAAAGTAACGATTGTATCATTCAATACGCCTTCGCCATCTCACCTACATACTCATTGATCGCCTTCCGAATATCCACCTTCTTCACAGCCTGCAGGTCCTTCAACCTCGCGTGTGAAGCTTGGTGCGCGAGCCGTCGCGCTTCCGGGGGCAGGGGCGGAAGTCCTTTGTTCACGTCCAGCGATGTGACACGCGTTACGTGCTTCAATGGGCTAGGCCTGTACGGCCGGTGGAAACCATATGGCATGATGTTGGTGGAGTGAGTGCTGCAAGGCCTGGGTCTGCTGAAGCTAGAGTTGTGACTCACTCTTTGGGACTTCGTGTCGCTAGGCACGCTTTGGCTTGCGCGATGGCTGTTGAGATTTCGCATGGCGTTGAGGATGTGAGCTGAGGTGGACAGATCTGGTTGGGCGTTTGACGCGTCGGCTTGTTCCCTGAACGCAGGATGGCAGTCGTTGGCTGGTATCTGGCTCGCGCCAGAAGCTCGCAACTTGGCATTGGAGAGTTTGGCTTGCAACTTCTGGTCAAACTTCCCAACCAGAGTGGTGTTCATTGTGGAGTGGGATGTTGTTCTGCTGATTCGCTTCCAGAGGCCTACAGAGGATTCCTTAGGACCTGGTGAGTTTGGTCGTGTGTTTTCTTGGAGGCTGTCGTATTTTCTCTTTGGCCTCAGCCAGGATAACATGGTAGGTCTCATCCTGGTCACCTGCATGCCGATTTCCGCTTTCGAAAAGTCGACTGAGTCAGCTGATGAATCGGATGAGAAACATGATCTGGATATCTCATGGTCTTCGCTGGAACGTCGCTCATCAGACTGATCTAGATCTTCGACATCATCCTGTCTGAGTGCCTGCTCCCTCGTTCCATCGATCCTCATAGTCTCTAGAGGATTTGGGGGTTGAGGTGGACCGTGGTGGCAGACGTCTATGCCATTGGACTTCAGAACTTCCGCTCTGCAGCTTGGCTCACTGGACTGAACTCTGTCGTTCCCAACGCCACTCACTGTTGACGCATGCCCTTCTTTCCCAAGAGTTGACACGTCCCATTCAACAATTCCCGATCGACGTACAGAAATCCGCCATGTACTGTTGCGCGCGTCCGATTCCCCGACAGCTGTAACCTCTTCTTCCACGAGATCATTTTCCGGGAGATTTCCATCATCGGGCACATATCTCGATACAAGTTCTGCAATGTCGTCGAAGCTCAGGTTCTTATTGCGGAGCAGGTAGGAGAACCTGAGCCAGTCCAAGTCGCTTGTCGGGCCGAGGGTGACCACCATTGGTGTGCGTGGGGCATCAAGCTGAAGTTCTTCAAGGTATTCATGTTGCTTTCCTATTTCCGTGCCGGTGCACTTGTCGCTCTTAAACTTCGGCGTGGTGTTCTGGTGGACGTCAGAAGCGCTATCCTTCCGTCGACGACCTCCGCCACAGGATTCGCAATTCGCCCAGCAGCCAATATCTTCACCATCGCCGCCTCCCCGAAGCGGCCACATGTCGCCGAAAGTATGGACAAACGGCGAAGGCGAAGATGCCGGCGAGTCGACCTTGCGACGACCATCAAGAAACCTCACCACTCTGATAGAGTCATCGTCGTTACCGACGATCTCATTCATCAATGGCCATTGTTCCTCCTCTTCCCCTCCACAACAACTGATGCGTTCCAATTCTTTCAATGCAGCTTCGAACCCCGATCTAGCCTCACTGAGCAATCCTCGATCGGGACGCATCGTCTCTCCTTGGTAGACCGCTACGGATCCCACTCTTTCTCCTTTACCGCTCTCTTGCATCTTGCAATGCTCTTCACGTAGCCTGATTGCGCACGGTCGGCACCGTACCAGCGTGTATATGGGCCAGTCTTTACTCTTTCCCTCGACTTGGTCTGGATCTATGACTGTATGTAAGACTCCCTTCTGGTCAGCTGGCTTTGAGACTTGAACGAACTCGTCAGGATGAACGCAGATATAGGCACGGCGGAAAGCGTATGGGTATGCTAGGGGTGCAGCTATGTGAGTCGTTACAAGCTCAGTCTGCACTGCTACTACTAGTGGGTTCTTATCAGCCATGACTCCTGGTAGATAGTGGGGGTTTTGCCGCGGTACTACTCGGGAAATAACAAGAGTGAGGAATGACACATACAGTTGGATGTTGGTGTTGCAGTTTGTTGGCCACGCGGTCACTATGTTTGGGGCCGATACAACACGATTGTGCCACCTCAACGACAACGACGCACCGCGCACCGGCGTGACATAACAGTCAGTATGAAGAGCGGATTTTGCAAACATTTGAAGATGCAGCGACGTCAGTCGTCTTTGTGAGGCGTCGACGTTACGCCACACATCTCGTTCCGTCGATTTAGCGTCGTTCGGGATCACCGTGACTAGGGCTATGTAAGGGTTGAAAGGCTTTTCATTCAATACTATTGAACCCGCCGTAGCAAAGTTCATTATTACGCTGTAACAGGTAACGCCATATCACCATGTCCATCTTTGTGACGCATCCGTCCCCCGGATATCGGATGTGCAAATGACGCTTCTCCAAAACGACAACGCCGCGCTTGCTAAATGACCAGAAAATTACAAGAAGATCTAGAACCACACCGTTCTCGATAACAACCTACGCACCGTAGTTTTGTCCCGTACTCACGGCTGCATATCCGGCTGGCGCGTGACCCATATATCCCTGGGGGGCCAGCGGATCGTGGCTTGACATCGGGGGGCTCGTTATCGGCGGACTAGCAAGCGGCTCCATAGCGTAGCTTTGGGGCCGCGAGACATATTCCGTGCTTTGTGCAGTGAGCGGCACCATGTCTTCGGGTCGTGTGCTCCACCGTGCCGTATTGCGCATCTCTTCCAACCCCGCGCCATGCGGCACATGCCCGTGTGCCGCACCCGTCTCGTGCACGGATCCATGAGGACTATGTCCGTGTCCGTGGTGTCCGGGCTCTTCGTACTCCAACGCATATGGCTTCCCGCTCTTTTGGAGTTTCCAGTTGCAGTAGATTGAGCTTAGCTTGTCGCTGACTAGGATGAGGAAGAGGAATACGACGCAAATTGGTAGGAGCGCAGGTGACTCGATGACGGCATGTAATCGCTCGGTGTCGGCCATCAGAGCCAACATTGCGCCCCCAACGCCGAGGGTAAGACTGCGGGATATGATGGACGTAAAGTCGAAGAGGTCGGCCTTGTGGCGACGAATCAACAAAAGAAATATGATCAGACAGACGAGAAGGAGGCAGAACGACGACCAGAAGTAGAGATAGACGAGCTCGAATCCTTTGAGACCGACCTCGAGGGGACTGTAGTCCTTCAGTTTGTCGACTGGTATCTTCATGCCGAGACCAGTGTATAGGCCGTTGTTGAGAAGGTGGGATACGTTCTTGAGTGCTCCGGGCCAGTCGTCATCTTCCTCGCCCATGTTGTACTCTGTGGTGTTTTGCTGAGAGCAGATGTTTGTAGCGTTACCGACACTCCAGATAGCCGTCTGAGCTTGGTTGTAGAAGCTCTTAGTCTCATACTTGCTGTCGAGCTCGAAATACTCTAAAAGGTACTGCAGCTTGTCTTGCAGTTTTTGACCGTCAAGATGATCCGTTTGGCAGTATTGGAGGATGGAAGTAGTAACTTTCCTAGTATTTTTGGCAACGTAGCGGGCCAGAGCAACTTGCTGCGAGCCTTCCACGACACCGACAATAGCAAGTTGAAAGGGAAAATGTAGCAGTGACCAGATTTGCTGACGAATGGTTCCGTAGTGACCATGGGGAAAGTTGTCGAAGTACCTGAGTACTGTTAGCTTACATGCGTCATGTCTTCCATACCTGCATATACTTACAGAGCCCAAATCAACACAAGAACCACGATGATGCACATGATTAAGAAGCATCCCTCGACTTCCAATCCGTGCTTCCCCATCATCCTGCTAACTGTCTTTGTAACACCAATTGCGCCCTCGCCAATGACAATGATTGTCAACAAGCTCATGCGCTCCATCAAGTGGGTCTTTTTGAAACTCATCATGCGCCAGAAGCACGATATAGCAACGACTGCGATGGCTTCAAGCACCATGACGACGTACCATACAAGGTAAACTAGGCGTCTACGATGGTCACCCTCAACCTTGAAGGCGGGTGTCATGCCGGCGAATGCACCCATGCCGATCGCATAGACTGCGAACATAAGAATGATCGGGAGGTAGATCTTGGTATACTTCGCTCTCCAAGTGAAGAAGAGTACCACAAGATACTGGATGGCGAGAAGACCACGGCTTATGACTAGGGTGTAGCATAGGATACGGAAGTTCTACATGGCTTAGTATACCTTTTCCTCAATGTGGGTAATAAACTTACAGTGTTGTTCCCTTGACCTTTCGCGCTTGCTGGGTTGAACTGGCTTCCGACCAGCGCCAGACCGACAAAGACGATGAATTGAATCGTTTTGCACACGCGCTCATAGAGCGAATCCCGCGCAAACCGTACATCGTGAAGTGTGATCTGGAACCAACACGACCATAATATGCCAAAGAAACCGATGTATGCCAGCAGATAGTCGATGTCGGTAATAGAGTGGTAGGCCGTAAAAGTCGCAAGATTGGCAACAAAGAACAAATCGAAGAAAAGTTCCACGCTATTCGCTTCGTGCCGTTGAGAGAAGACGAGGTGTTCGTGATCGGCACCAACTAGCGGGGATTCGATAAACGGTGTTGTCTTGTGCAGCCGTCTAAGATGCTTTTCCGCATCAACATCGCGTTTGTGGCCGTGAAAAGTCCAGCCCATGATGCCGATTTCCCACAAAGTCGACGAGAAACAACCACAACTCAACTCCAACGGTCAGGAAAGGAGCAACGAGGTTAAACCAAAGACAGACAGACAAGACTACCAAGACAAATACGAGCTGCCTTCGGCGCCGCAGTGAGTCTTATGCAAATCCCAATTCGCATACTACACGCGACACGAGATAGCCCCGCAAGCTATGGCGCATGTTCTATCTTAGGGCTGGAGGCCCAGGCCGGCGAGTACGGTTCCGCCTTGAGTCCGCTAGCAACGGTACCAATAGCACCGCATAGCGGCGCGTTACACGGTGGGCGCTGGCGGAGCACGCATGGTGGGTTAGGTCGTGCTAAGCCGGAGGAAGCTTTCACCACCAAGCCTGCGCGGGTCGGGCTCAGCAGCAAGCCAGCGCAACAATGCTGACAGCGCTATCGTGAATCGGAGGAGCACAGATGCTGGAGTACTGGTTGTAGCGTACGTCGGTCCAATCATTGCCTCCACGTGAGGCTTGGCGCACTGGTGTGTCGAATTAGACGGTGTGGAAGATAGGAGAGTCAGCTCAGCCCTGAGATCCGTAGACGGGCCGCTAGCGGTGCAGGCGTCCAGCGTCGAGTCTGTGGCGGAGGTGCCTCGCCAGCTAGCCTCCTGAGGTCTTCGTAAGACGAAGTCATCGCTGCAGCAGTTGAAACGCATCTTTTTGTCGTGCATTGGTAGAGGTGCTGCAGTAACACTCTTACGCAGCTCACGATCACCCGTCCGCAGCCGGTCAGCTCGGCGTTCTGCGTCGCCTCTACAGCCCTTCTGCATCCACAACCTCTTTTCGGCAACTACCTAGGTATCAAACCTCACCAAGCCGGCGTTGCGCAGATATCACTTCCTCCTCGCTCCCGGTCTTACATGTCCCACTCATTCTCAAAATGTCAAAACACTGGGCCGAACGTGGTACCCGGTGATCCAGAGGTGCATGCTCATGCACCTCACGCCCCATCTCTAACAGCTCGCCTGATGTGCTTACATGAGGCCCGCTATTTGCAGACGGAAGGAACCGCAAATACAGTGTTCTGACCCCCATTCAGTGAACATACCGAGCTTGCCTCACCCATGAAAAAAACCTCACAGATCGTCATGCGTCCTCCGACTTGTAAAACGTTGTTTGCCTGTAGTCACCGCAACAATCACAACGGATGTTCAAAGAATATTGATATTGTATTGGCTGAAACCACAACCAGCAAACGATTTCTAGATCCTCCATTTGAACGCCGCGCTGATAGTCAAGGTTCGGGGGGCCTAAGCCATGCAAGTATGCTGTAAAATGCACCAAGTACGATGAAGTCTTCACTTCCGTATCAGACCAGTCCGTTCATTCGCGCCCTCGCCAATCTCCTCCTCTTCATCTTCGTCTTCGCTATCATCTTCGCTCCACCCTTCGGCTTCCAGTCCATCGCCACGAATACCGAAGCTTAAAAGGAAACCGAGGAGTGCGATACCAGCGAAAATGCCAAAAGGCAGGGCTTCACCTTTGGGCTTCAACTTGGTAGCTGCTGTGAAAAGCGAACCTGACACGAAGGGTCCGGCAGCGCGACCAGCAGCAGAGAGCGTCTGAGCGAGGCCATTCAGCGTACCGAGCACGTTGTGATTGGGTGCGGAGTTGGTGATCTGCATAATATCAGCATCCGTAGAGCGCGTCATGTTGGAATTAGAGTAACTTACCATAAGGAGTGCAGCTGTCAGGCCGCCGACACCTGCAATCGTTTTGATAACCAGCACAACGCCGAGCTCAAACCACAACCAACCAGCACCCGTACCAATGCCCTTGTATCCGTTGCTCTCTTTGTAGCCCACAAACGGCATGAGACCGAAGGCTGCAATGAACAGCCCTAAGCTGACTCTGTACCCCATCTTGTTGCCCATCTTGTCTCGAAGCCTACCAAATATGCCCACCTGGAACAGTATCGTTATAGCGCCTGCGAATGACAGAGATAGTCCGACAGCCTCAGGCTTCAGCCCGCGTCCGGTAGGTGGTTGCTCTTCCGCGAAGATCGGATACAGAGAGTTGTAGGAGATGTTAGCGAGCTGGAATATGAAGTACGTTATGAGAAGCAGGACTGTGTCCCGGTTCAAGATCTCCTTCCGTGTAAGTTCGTCGCCGCTACTGTGTGGGAATAGTGTAGGCGCAGATTCCTCAGAGGCGTCGGATGCGTCGTCCTCGTCTACATCGTCCACACCACCGTGTGAGTTGTGGGTTTTGTGATTGCCTAGGAGGCGTCGTACGTAGGTAGGTCGCGTGGAGCTCGAGAACTGCCACATCCATGAGAACAAGTTGCCCAGTCTCTTTCCGAGAGGTGGCAGATTCTTGGCTTCTTCCAAACTCTCCTCCAAGAAGAGCATACACACTATCAGGTCTATCGCAAGGACGAGGGCCGAAAAGAGGTTCGGGAGGAGGTACGGGTAGGGATTCGACTGGCTCTTGTTGAACGGGTTCTGATAAAGCACCAAGAGTCCTCCTACGATCGGTCCCGTTATGCCACCAATACCGTAGACGACGGGCAGATAGGTAAATGCGCGCGATTGGTTGCTTCGATCCGTAATCTCGCCCAAACACGTCGACACAACGCCAGAGTTTCCGTTGACCAAGCCCATCAGGGCCTGCACGAGTATAGCTTGCCATAGCTCCCTGCAGAAGCCAAAAGCCAGAAAACAGCACATGGTCAAAAATGTGCCCGTGATTATTACCGGCTTTCGTCCGATCTTATCCGACAGCCAGCCCCAAAAGAAATTTGTTGTGAATTGTGCCAACGCGAAAGACGACGCGATGAGTCCGACGTATAGACCTGTCTGTCCATCCTTGACAGCGGAAAACGATTTCGTCATCTCAGGCAGATAAGGGCCTATTGAGTTGAGCGCGGTTTGCTCAGCGAGAGCTATGACAGCTAGCACGATGAGCTGCTTCGTCGGTAGGGGCTTTTCATGGTGGGTATGGCTGCCGTCTTCGGATCGGTTGCCATCTTGACCGGACGGGGCGTCAGATGGTGGTCGGCCGCGGGATTTAGGGGGGATAGTTGGGAAGGTCGTGTAATCTACATGAGGATGTACCAGTCAGTATGTCTCCTATCTATTCCGTATAGGATGTTACCTACGAAGCGTTGACCTGCGCGCATCAAGGCCTGGCCGGGTTGATGGCATCGTCGCGGAATGTACTACCTCTGTGAGGCCGAATTGCTATAACAAGCTTTCGCATGCATTGGGGCGCAGGGCTGTTGCTGGTTATGTCGACACTAACGCGCAGGGCTACACAAGAATGTCAGATAACTCTATAGAGGCGCGATTTGATGATAGGGTTCTCGAATGCAGGAGGCTGAAAGATGCTGTTTGCTGTGCAGATTTCAAGCTGGGATCACGCGCGGCTCAAGCTACGTCATTATCGCAGGAACCCGCTGGCTTGGCGCGAGATCTACAGCCTCGATGCTGTCTCTCGATCACGTCTCTGACTAATCAATGTTTTCTTCACATCTTCTCTTCATTTCGACCTCGTCTTTTGGTTAGGCAGGTCCGATTGACATACGTTGTACTGTCTGCGACAACCCGCTGGCCTACCCAACGACTTTACAAACACAGATCCCAGGACGTGTTTTCATCTCGGTGCACATCAAGCCATGTTCGCATGATGCGAACGCGCCAGGTGAAGCTTGGGAAGTGCGACAGGCACAGTGCGCATGCCGGTCGGCAGAGGAGGCTGGCGAATCCAGACACAGGACCCGGATGCATTCGTTGAAGCCGGTCCGCGAAAAGAAACATAGACTCATGCTGGAGCGCGATTACCTGGGACCGCGCTAGATGCACCTCGACATTGTTGACCCAAAGGACTCTAGCTACATGCATGCATCGTGGCACATACTCGATCATCTGGCAACCGCGTCGCGGACAGGCACATGACATATCCAAAGACCTGGAAGTGGCTTTCTTGGCATGCTGCAATACCAGACTTCCAGGATACCCCACATTCCTGATTAATTATCGAAAGGGCTGACCGCTCATCCTCAATCTATTACGCCCTGACGGCTCGCCAAAGCTATTGGACACCTCGGGAACACTGAAAGCTGACTGGCAATACAAGTCATCGGTGGATGCGTATTGTCAAGATGATCACCAGTCGCTTAAACTAGTAGTGTCGAAATCTTCGCAACTCGCTCATATCTTCTCAAACATTGGATGCCTTACGAAGTTGTTCGTTCTCGACATCGGAGGTGTGTGATCTTCGCATCCGCCTGATCTTCCTGTACCTCAATCATTGCTCGGCGAGGCTTGTGAACGCTTTAGAACCAATACAACCATGCGACTTAGATTACACTGCCGCCAAAGTGCTGGCTCCGGGCATCCATGTGGAGATTTCGAGCTTAAGATGTTCAACGAAATTTAGAGTATAAAAAGTCTAGTGAATTCCTCATAAAAGCGTCAAATAATCAGAAAACCCAGTTCAGAGCCGCAGGTACACCGCGGTCTTTGTTTGAAGGCCCCTCTTCTACTTGGGTCCCCACTTGGTTGCCCCTTCACATCTCCTCTTACTTCAGACTTGCTACTTCTCGCCCACTCTATCTTACCAACTACGAACCTCCAAAAATGCGATACTCCACCCTGCTCCCGACTTTGTTAGCCATCGGCTCAACTCTCGCAAGACCGGCCCAGCCCGAAATTGCTAACACCACAACTCTGCCAACTCACTTCGGTCTACTCACATTCCCACACTTCCAAGCTCTCGACATCTTCGGACCCATGGACCTCCTGAACTCCCTCTTCATGTACTACCGAAACACATCCATCGTGCCGCAGTTTACAGTCTTCAGCAAAACCATGGATCCGGTGACGTCGGCTATGACCGATGGAGGTTTTGGTCAAGAGATCATGCCGGCCATGACATTTTCGGAGTATCTGGTGAGTTGCGACCATTATGTGGATAAGAATAAGACTGATTGGACGAAGAACAAGCAGAAGGACCACGGTGATGACGACATACCCTCTGCAGATGACAAGGGCGCAATCGACGTCCTCATCGTCCCTGGCGGTGGAGGGACTCGCAGAGATATGACGGAAGAGATCAACTTCGTCAAGGCTACCTACCCAAATGTATGCATATTCCCCTGACCATCCCTTCCAATCATTAGCTGACAACCCCACCGCTCAAATATATCATATCCGTCTGTACCGGCGCCACACTCCTGTCCCGTGCAGGTATCCTCGACGGTCGCAGGGCAACCACGAATAAGGCTGCCTGGACATGGGCTACATCGACTGGTCCCAATGTAGACTGGGTGCCGACTGCGCGTTGGGTAGAAGACGGCAATATTATCTCGACCAGTGGAGTCTCGGCAGGCATCGATGGGACATACGCGTTCGTCAGTCGCGTGTATGGGGAAGAGGTTGCACATTTCTTGAGTTTGGCCTTGGAATACAACCGTGAGACGGATGCACATCATGACCCTTTCGGTAAGGTCTGGGACGTCCCTGGAGCTACTTGAGTGTTCGTGCTTTCTGAATGGAGCACTCTCATAAAGAAGGATCAGGCGGTGTGCGTAGGTGATGTAATGAGTTGGCACAGCCACCACACTACATCTGTATGTATCTGAGCAGCCTCACTAAATCCGAATATTTTATCAAGTGTTACTCCCCATTTTTCCGACTATTTCGTGAAATTAACCAGAGAAATGCAATACTTAACCTTCAATGACTTCGTCATTGCAAACTCCATATCGACTATATCTACCTTTCCGCGGCGTCAAGAACGACGATGCCGCCTTCCTACCATTGAACCCTGAGTCGAAAGAGATACGATGCGTTATTCTGAGACCGGGACATGGGAACGACCCTATCGAATGCGAGTTGGTGTATACAAACATAAGCGGGGAATCTGAAAGTCGCAGACCATATGTAGCGCTGTCCTATTGTTGGGGAAATACGAAAGACACCGTTGAGATCCAACTGCATGGCCAGTCGATGACTTCATCAGGCGCATGTCAGCAACCAATCAGTGTGCCGTTCCGAATTACCCGGAACCTTCACACGGCACTCACATTTCTGCGGAACGAGAGCAAACAGTGCCTGTGGATAGATGCTCTGTGCATCAACCAGAAAGACTTGCCCGAAAAGATGCATCAAGTCCAGTCCATGGGCAATATCTTTTCATCGGCCGAGGCAGTGTTGGTATGGTTGGGTTTGGAAGACAAGTACAGCCGATTTCTCATGAGAGCATGGACGGCACACCTACTCCCTATGACGAAAGCTCATGGTGAGATCATGATCATGGACCTTTACGTCGCAATGTGTGAGAATACACATCCTTTCTGGACTGGTCTTGCTGAAGACGAAGTACTCCGCCAACTTGCACTCGATCTTCATGAAGAATGTGTGGATATGAGCTCGCCTGGCTGGTACAAGAAGGCACTGTGGACCAGCTTCGAGAGACTGTTTGATCGGCCATGGTGGAGCCGAATTTGGGTTGTGCAAGAGGTCCTTCTGGCCCCCAAAAGTGAGCGAGGCGGTCGTAAAGTTGACCTCAGAATCGGCGATAATGTGGTGAGCTGGGAAGAGATGCTCGATATCATACTACCTTTGGTCCATCATCTAGACAGCCTGCCGCGCAACTCCGAACCTGCTACATCTTCTTCCTGTGACGTAATCCGATACTCATGGCAACATCTTGTTTTCAGAGACGAGGGAAACTCGGACCCGGGAATCAGGGATCTCCTAGTCTCTACGAATAAGTTTAAAGCCTCAGACCCTCGAGACAAGCTCTTCGCTTTGCTCCTTCTGGCTTCGGATACCAGAGAGTCTTTTCGCCGGGAGCCTCTGATTTGTCCAGATTATACTAAATCCACGAAAGCAGTTTTCGATGACTTGGTGAGTTGGGAACCAGCACTGAAGGGTACGTGGATCTGGGGAGAAGGCGATTTTGTAGAGCTGACTGGTGATTCCGTCTGGTGAAGGAAGATCGGATCCATAGCTTTTCCGTGCAGGTAGCCTTCTCATCATGGGCTAAATACGACGTTAACTTCTGCTAATACCGTATCATGTGGCTGTTGAGCTGCTTGATGAGAGTGGTGAAATCGCGACAACGGACTCGATGGCGAGGGAGTGCGGGGTGCGCAGGCGTTGGCACAACCTCTGGAACGTTTTGCGCAAATTTGCATATCCATTCAGGTAGCGCTACAGCGCTGGTAAGCACCACGGGTTGTTCCGCTTCCTAATGGGATATATGTTTGCGATCCTAGGGAAGGTTGCGCAGAAGTCGCGCACGAGTTCAATGATGCAGGTGGGCAACTTCAGAGCGCCCGGGAACAATCGGCGACGCTGCAGCGCCGACCCCGAAGGCCCAGCATGCCCGGATACTGTGCGATGACCATCTCTTGCACACTGCTTCGGGCTGTGTTCCAACAACAAGTTAGACGCGATAAAATCAGAGCTAATACCTAGGTACATTACTGCCACGTGCCCAAATTCGTTGACTCAACCCCTCAATCCCTCAAGGGCTTGATCGAAGCCATCATCACGATAAGATATTGCATTCCTAGGTACCTACGTACAGTGCGCCCTCGAGTACCTAGGTGTCTTTGTCAGCGTGAGAACAGGAAGAATGGCATCAGTTCCATTAAGTATGACGAGTGTGAACGGAGAAAGTGAGTTTCAAGCAAGTCACGTTTGATACCTAGGTACGATACTAAGAAAGCAGACATTGAGATTATTCACAATATGCCTGGGTGTCTCGTTACGCGACAGCCCGACGGTACAGTCATCAAGCGAGGCAGGCGTATCAATATCGATGAGCAATCGGCACTCGAACTCGCCGCGCAGTATGGCCTTCCTGTTCCACACGTATACGGCGCAGGCGAGAAATGTGGAGAAACCTTCATTCAAATGGAGTTTATCGAGGGTGATGGACTTGATGAAGTTTGGCCTCGAATGACGGTGGAAGAGAAGGACCATATATGCCAACAGCTACGAGAAATCCTCACAGCCATGAGATCAATACCATCTAAGACCGAATTCATTGGATCTTGCTCTGGTGGGGAAGCCCGTGACGATCGCCAATATGGTCACTACAATGGAGGGCCGTATCCAGACGAGACTGCATTCAATGCCTCACTATATTTCGATCTCGTGGGTTCTACACCAGCCCCAATCCGTACTGCGCTGCATCAGCAACTGCGTAGCAACCATCGTATTGTATTCTCGCATGGCGACCTTGCGCAACACAACATCATGGTCAAAGATGGTCACATCACAGGGCTGATAGATTGGGAGAACGCAGGGTGGTATCCTGAGCATTGGGACTATATCAAATTCTTCGAGCGACCGTGCAAGTACAAAGATTGGAAAGATCGTGCAAAGGAAATATTCCCCGAATGTTATGACAATGAGCTTGCATACCACCAAGCTATCATGCGATGGCAAAAGCCTTAAGCAGGGTCACCGGGTTCTGGCTCCTCCTCTGCTTCCATGGTCGCTTCCACCATCTTATCAATACCACCGGTACACTCCTCCTTGGTTATATACCCAGCTGCGGCCAGTCTCTCGAGAGCGTCTCCCACCCAGAGAAGACAGTTGAATTCGGCGTTGAGATTGTCGATCGGCGTTTGGTAGATGAGAGCTGCTAATAGAGCCTTGGTCATTGGTGTCCGTATCGTTCCAACACTGACTTCTTTGGCGAAGCTGAGGCTCCTGCTCGGGATAAAGTTATCCCTCGTTTGGAGCTCATATGCCTTGTTCGGCCCGGTAGTGTGAATCATCATGGCTGTTCCTCCGTCGTCAGGCCGGAGACAAAGACCAGCGTGTCGGTATTTTTGGTAGTCTAGCGGGAAACCCTTAAAGACACAAATGCTCAGAGTGATGGTCGGCAATGAGTTTGAGACATTGGAAGCTGGTTGACTGGAAACCGGGTGACTGCCAGTTCTGATATGATAATTAGACATGGATACAATGGCACATGGACACAGACCTTTCGGATTCGTAGAACCCTGCTGGGAATTGATCGTCATCTCCCTTTCGACGATAATAGATTCCGTAAGCTGTCTGCTCAGCAGTGTAGTGGTATGCTAGATTGGCATCATCAATCTGATTTGGTAGGTATTGGACCATGATGAGAACGTTGTAGATTTTCGATATAACACGCCTTTGATTCTGTGGCACAGATGTGCAGCTATATACATGTTCTGACGCAGATATCATACCGAACAGAGGGTCATTCAGAGTCACAATGGAGTCTGACAATGCATTATTCGTGTTGGTGTTGGTGGTCCATAACATAAAGATGGGGCATCAGCATAGACATGACTATACATCGTCGTGAAACACGCACTTACGCTATCATGATACGATGAGCATGACTGGGTGAGATGCCAGTCATGTGAGTCAAAGGGACAATAATGCACAGATGAGTATCCTAAAGTCAGTAGGGTGCACATACAGGAGTGCATACCATCATCACTGTCGATGGGGGACGTTCTATTTTCGCGATTCGCATTAATAATAAAGTTTCTAATGTACAGCTTCAGGAACTTACTGACCTTTCAAGCCCACGGCAATGCCATTCGATCATCTTTCATCAGTCACGGATACCGCCTTTGCTGTTAGCGACTTGGACGTCGTCGAGTATTCGATCATCCGAGCTTTACTGCAGGCGAACACCAGCAGTACCCTTCTTCTTCGCCTGATCATCAAACGCATTCCCCAACCCACCACCCCCACTCCTACTCGCCTCAAGCGAACTCTCAGCCATCTTCTTCTTCTCAGCAGCCACCTTGTCAAGTTGCTTCTTCGTCTTCGTGTTTCCACTACCCTTGCCGTGGAACTGGTGACTGAGCTGCTTGAAGGCTTCTTTCTGGTTCATGTGGCGGCCGTGTTCGTCCACATACTTGAGCTCAATGTTGGGCGTATACTCCCTGTTGAAGAGCTCAGCGAGACGGCGACTCTCGACCATCTCGGCGCTGGTGTTGTTTTTGCGGGCCCATTCTTCGCGCTCGCGCGGCGTCATGTTGTTCCAGCGGGCGGAACCTCGTTCGCGTTCACGGGCGATCTTGCGTTGGCGCTCGGCGTCAGCTTCGGCCTTGTTCTTGTCGGCAATGAACTTTTGGCGGTCGCGGTACATGGCGTTCTTGTCGGAGGCGTCGGACTCTGTGACTAGGCCTCGTTGTTTAAGTAGCGCAAGAGTGGCACCTAGACCTTGGTCGACAGTCTTTTCTGCCTCGAGACCCGTCTCGGTAATATCTGTGG